ATAAATATCAAATTTAAAACGATAAAGACTATTTTAGCAATGAATGTAAATGATAGGGACCATTTTTGCTAATTACCCTTTTCTTATATGGAATTGCACGAAAAGTTTAGGGACTTGAATGATTATTTGTTGATGACATGAATTTTGATAAAATTTGGGAGGTGATTTTGAACTTTATTTTTACTTTTCTTATTCACAATATTTTAAAAAAATAAACGATATTTAAATATCACAATTTTGCGATAATATATTATTATTGAATTTTTTTTTTAAATTTCATGAAAGGGACACAATTTTAAAATGTCGCACATTGCATCTAAAATTTCAGGGTCGGCCATGCTAAGCAGACCCTTAATGTTGCATTTATTCATCTTATACCAATAATCTTCAACAAATTGAAAAGTTTGGACTAGAACTACAATTTTTCCATTTTTTTTTTTAAGTTTTGGCCCTCTTTAGTGCATGTAACGCCTAATTAATGGAATTAGACGGTAGGCAGTGTTCCGCAAGTTTTGGGCCATCTAGATGTTTCTCCACCAAAATGATAAGATAAGAGTATTTCACAATATAGACAAAATTTATGTGGGGTTTGCCTCAATTATCCAATAAAATTTGAACTATCTACCTCTCCTTATTCTTTTTGAACTTTGCTACATGTACACCATGCTGGTGTACACTCCCCTCACATAGAGGGTGACTCACAAATTTTTAATTCCTGGTGGACCCCCTCACATGCTGTACACTACAACCATCATTGTTCATTCTTTTTAGGGCTGCGAGAAAGGTCCTTTGAGTCCATTCCCTCGGGACCCTCATTCCCAATGTACAAAATTTAATAATGATTTTCATTCGGGCTCATGTTCCAATGACTATTTGGATCGAGGACAATGTCATTTAGAGCTTGTTTGTCTTCCATTATTGGGAGAAAATTAGTGTAATGGATAGTATTTTTTGAAGAATGTGTAGTTAAAAATTAAAGTAACTTTATTGGTTTGTGTGTAGAATATTTTATTGGGTGAATGTATGGTGAAGAATCTTACTGTAGCAAACAATTTTTTGGATTAATGGTAGACAAACAGGGGCTTATACAATGAATTTTGACAATGTTGTATGTGTCAAAAAAGTGTTGGTTGAAAAGATAAATTATTTTTTAAATTATCAAATGACAACATGCGACGTATTGTCAACAATATTGTTAAAAAGATTGTACATCAAGCATGATTGTTAGATCAATTAGCATTGTCTTGAAATTAGCACATGAGCCCTCAAAACAACCTCTTATTTTGTCCCAAAGCCTTAGACGAGCGACTGAGCTTAAAATGATATACTACATTTTCATATGTTAATATCAGTATTCAAATTTATGAAAAACAACGCCACTGAATGTAAAAAATATCAATTGTGCTACATAAACATAACAATTTACATAATGATTTACCAACAGATTATGTGACGAGATTTACTTGGATCAAAATCTCATAAATCAAATACTTTTTCCCATTTACATTTTAACACCTCATCATTATATAAAACATTAGACAAATAGTCACGTACAACAAGCATTTTCCAAAAAAATATATCTACTTATATTAGTGTTTTATGAGAAAGGAAATCAAAATTCACATTTCACTATTGCGTATATGGTTAAATTGTAACTATTTACCAACTTTGGTCTATTAAATTAAACTTCCTTGAATTAGAAGTCTAAGAAATTATTTACTTTTTCTGATAGAAGAAAATTATTTCACATCACAAGTCTACCGAGAAAAGATGATTTTCTTTATTTTTCACACACACACACACACAGAGACTGTTATTCTTCCACAAATACGATAAATCTGAACAGCCACCATTATTGGATGCAAAACATGAAGTTCTTCAGAACACTGAGCTTCTAAGTAGGAGAAATATATGTATATAGTCGATCAAGTGTTTACCCAAAAATGGTATCTTCCCGAGCCAAAACCAACATAAGAGATACCACGGTTTTCTAATTTCAACAATATTCGTTGCCATTATGCACAAAATAATCGATTTGGGCATTCTCTAACTGGCAACAGGGTTGTGCGAATGGGTGGCTGAAGGCACACTTCTTACAGGTCCAACTTTCCATGAAAAGGTCAAATGAACTAAATCAATTTGAACCCCATCCCCCACCTCCAGGAGTTAAAATCTGAAGTATTTCCCCGGCCTGCACCTCGACCGTGTTTTTTCCTCCAAGATATATCTTTCGCTTATCGTTGGTAATAAGGTAATTAACACCACGAGCCCCATCTTTTCCTCCATTCAGTCCCCTTGGGGCATGTACACGCCTTTCTGAAAGAATACTAACAACTACGGGGCGTTTGAATTGTATCTCCCGAATGAGTCCTTCACCGCCTTTATGATACCCAGCACCTCCACTATTCTCCCTCAACCCGAATTTATGCAATAGAACTGGATATCTCTGCTCAAAAATCTCAGGATCAGTCATACGGGTATTGGTCATGTGGCACTGGACTCCACTGGTACCGTCCCAGTTAGGGCCGGCCCCACTTCCACCACCAATTGTCTCGTAGTAGCCAAATGTATTATCCCCAAAGGTTAAATTATTCATGCAACCCTGTGAACAAGCACAAGCCTGAAATGCTGTAAGAATAACATCGGTGATTCTCTGAGATGTAAGGACATTACCTCCAACGACCGCAGCCCGATCACTAGGAGAGAGAAAAGAACCGGGAGGAATATATATATTTACAGGAGCCAAACATCCTTGATTGAGGGGAATATCAACGTCCACCAAACAACGCAGGCAGTAAATGACTGCTGCAGATGTCACTGCCTCAGGTGCATTCCAGTTCCCATAAACTTCAGGGCTTGTCTCAGAAAAATCAAAAGATGCTTCTCCTTTCTTAGGATCGATTGTAAGTTTTAAGCTTATAACAGATCCGTCGTCCATGAAATCTTCCTCTTCGATGATCACTAAATCTCCCTCTCCACCCTTGGCAAAATTGGAAGAAACTCTAGCAGCAACAGATTTGAGCATTTCCCTCACTGCTTCTTCTGCGTTCACCTGCACATGATTCATGTATGACTGGACAGTATACAAACCGTATTGCTCGATAAGCTCCTTGATAAGTGAAATTCCTCTTTGATTTGCAGCTACTTGCGCATGAAGATCTGATAAATTATCTTGAAGCCTGCGTGTTCCTGGGATGTTAAAAGATGATCCATCAGAACAGGGAAACCGTAGAAGTTCGGTAATCCCTTCTTCTTGAAAATGACCCTTCTCCACAAGCTTGAATGCTTTTATTGCAGCTCCTTCCTCCCATATCGACTTTGAGAAAGGCGGCATGCTCCCAGGAGTAATACCTCCAATCTCGGCATGATGCCCTCGACTTGCAACGAAAAATACCAGGTTCCCTTTATTGAAAACGGGTGTAATAACAGTAATATCGGGAAGATGACTACCTCCAGCAGAAGGATGATTGGTAACCAAAACATCTCCTTCGTTCAAATTGTCACCCCAATAGTTCAGCTGCCATCTAACCGTGCTTGACATAGCTCCTAAGTGCACGGGAACATGTGGTGCATTTGCAACTAAACCTCCATCAGGGCCAAAAAGAGCACAGGAGAAATCTAGCCGTTCTTTAATATTTGTTGATATAGAAGTTCTCTGAAGGGTGCGACCCATCTGTTCTGCTATTCCCATGAATCGGTTATTGAAGATTGAGAGCTGGACAACATCTGCAACTTCATTTGAAATTTTTACATTGCTATGAACTAACCCGATTTCAATCTTGATATTACCATATTTCGTGATGGTAGCTTTACAGTTAGGTTCTACTATCATAGTGCTATTGCCATTCATAATTACAGCAGGACCAAGTATTACGTGACCATATGCAAGATCCTCGAGCCTGAACAAAGGTGTATCATGCCATTCATTCACAAAATAGACCTTGTAGTAACGTTCAACTTTAGCATCCACTGAGGCAGGTTCTAGAGAATGGGGTTTCAATATGTTTGTCACTCCAATCCCACGAACCCTCACATCAGATATTAATATATTCCTCTTCTCAAGTTTAAATCCATACTCTTGTTGAAATAACTTCACGAATTCAACGGCATAATCACCTGTCGACCCATCGTCATTGATAGGGTACTTAACCATGATAGCAGTGTCCGTTCCTTCGTACCTTAAGTTTAAATATGTTTCAGTTGTGATATTTTCCTCTATAAACCCTTGCAATTGCAGTTTTTGCTTTACCTGCTCCAATAAAGTTGCTTCTCTGTACGACGCCTCTAACAAAGATTCAGGACCATAAATCGAAGCATATGGCTCCTGTGCCTCCTCCACAACATTGGCCATTCCCATCCCATAAGCACTTAAAATCCCACAAAACCTGTGAATTAGTACTTCCTTCATACCCAGTGCTCTAGCAATTGCACAAGCGTGTTGAGGTCCAGCACCTCCAAAGCAAGCAAGAGCATGATTCTTTGTCTCGTGGCCCTTCATCTCAGTCAATTGTCGTATAGGACGGCACATAGTTTCATTGGCAACATTTACAAATCCCTGTGCAATGTCTTCCACTGTCATATCTTTTGCAGTTGGATCCTGGTTCTTTCTATAAGAATTGATTTGTTTTGCGAGTTTCACAAATTCGTTTCTCGTTGCATTGATATCTAATGGTTGATCTTCAGTTGGGCCAAAAATTGATGGGAAATAATCCGGAATTACATATCCCAAAATAAGATTTGCATCAGTAACAGCCAGTTCGCCTCCCTTACGGTAACAAACCGGTCCTGGATGTGCACCCACTGATTCTGGCCCGACCCTGAAAGCTCCGAGCTGGAACTTTAACTTTGATCCACCACCTGCAGCAACAGTATTTATCTCAAGCTGAGGTGCTTGGATTACAGCTCCAGCAATTTGGGTTTCTATAACTTGTTCATAGCTGCCCGCATATCGGCTCACATCCGTAGACGTACCGCCCATGTCGAAACCAATTAGTGGCTTTTCCGTCTCTACTCCAAAAAGAGTCTGTGAGTAGCCAACAACTCCACCTGCAGGACCTGACAAAACTGCTTTATGGCCTGAAAATCTGCTTTCTGGTGCAAGTCCCCCGTCTGATTGCATAAACAAAACGTTCAATTTGCCCAGTCCTTCGTCAAACTTAGACATAAATCCCAACAAATATTCTTTAATAACTGGAGTCAGGTACGCATCCACACATGCTGTGAAACCCCGAGGGACAGCTCGAACCATAGGAGTCAAAGCCGATGATATTGAAACATGTCTGAACCCCAAACTCAGAGCTAACTTTTCAATTGATATTTCATGGTCGGGGTAAGTGTAAGAATGCATTAAGACAACAGCTAAGCAGCTAATACCTTTTCCGAGGAGTCCTTTAAGCAAAGATTCTAAAGCATCCTTGTTGATTGGCTTCACAACCCTGACAAGCTCGCCTGAAACACCCTGAACTATTGATGCAGAAGAATCTGACTTTACTTTCTCCCCATCAAGAACAAGTTCAACTCTCTCATCAACCTCCACCACCTCTTTATAAAGATTTGATGGGGTTGACACAGTGAGGTCAAATATATGTGGACGGGCTTGATTGCCAATCTGCAGCAGATCCCTGAAGCCTCGAGTCACACACAGTGCAATTTTCTCCCCTTTCCTCTCTAACAGTGCATTTGTTGCTACAGTTGTTCCCATCCTTACCCATTCAATCTTATCTGTGGGGACCTTTGCACTTCGTGGAATCTTATCACCCGTAAATTCTTCTAGAATCCTCCTAATTCCTTCAACTGGCGCATCATCATAATTCGATGGGTCAACAGACAACAGCTTCATGACTCGTCCTTCAGTCTTGCCAGGAATTTCAGCATAGACATCGGTGAATGTGCCTCCTCTGTCAATACAAAATCTAAGCTTCCCTCCGTCAACACTCCCCATTATTTATCACTCCAAAAGCAAAATAGTAGACCAGACCTTGTTGCCCCAAGTTAACTTGGTTTATCAAATTACAATTTCCAGCTATGGCGATCTGTCAGTAATATAAACAAGAAGTTGAATATAATAATAAGTATTGTTCAAATCAATATCTGTTGACTAACTCAAAAAATTGTAGGCAAATGATGTATATAGAGAAATCAAACTAATTCTACTTTATGATTAATGATTACTTCTTATGCTGTGAACCTACATCAGTAAAATATAATGGAAATTAAGACTTTGGGTTTCATTTTCTTTTCATTAAATTTTACATTTCAAGAAATGAATGGTGAATAAATTGGTAGTACTTGTGGATCTTAGTAATGTATGGTTAAAATTAATTTTTGACTTTTAGAAGTAAAATTTAAGGAAAACAAAATAAAACCCAAACAAAGGCTAAAAATATTATTTATTGATTCTAGATCTCGAGACATTTTTAAAGAATTGTGAATCAAACAGCAGAATTAGATTACTGGAATATGATATCATTTGAGCCCTAGGCTCACCATTATTCATCTGATATTGAACCATAGAAAGAACTAATTCGGAAACTATTTACAGATCCTTCTCAATTAACAAGACATAGAATCAACCGGAGAGAAATAAACACAAGAAATTACAGCAAACCTGCAGGTATATTGAGTCATTATGTCCAAACAAGAAACAATTTATAGAATCTCATGCACAATATTAAAATATCAAATTCTTCAAAGCCCATCATCTTGCTAGTGTTAATGTAAATCAGTAAACGCTTACCTTTAAACAAAAGAAGCAGAATACAGAAATTTAGAACCGTAGTATTGACTGTTGAATAGCTAAATGTCTATTTTAGTTGAAATTAGTTTACTGATGCAGTGCTTGTATAGCAACAATTGATGGGAATGATGCAGAAGTTCCATCGACCTTATTAAATGTGATCCTTCTAATAAATAATCATCAGTTGGAAGAAACTTTCAAAAGTGTAATATGGTTGTAGAGTTCTAGGAAATTTCATGAATCAGCATCACAATAATGTCTACAAAACTTATGTTGACAATGAAAATCAGTCAACTCAATATTACATAGAAGGAACCCCATCCACTGTTAAGGGTAAAATCTCACACCGGTTTCATGTTTTTATAATTGATTATAGTAAGGGTGTATGCTACTCCTCTTACCAACCTGACATTCTAAGATGGAACCCAAGTCAAAAGAGGAATTCAGTCAATCAAGCATCCGGATTCCAACACGCCATCCCCATTCCCTCCAATAAGTGAAAAAATCAACAAGAAACAAACATTCTAAAGTACTTTTTTTTACCATCTATGCAGACAAATCACAAATATATTCATCCAAGTAAATGAACCATAAGTTATATCAAAAGTTCAAGTTAATTAAAGTGACCTTCAAAGATAAAACGATAGAACAGAATTTAAACGTTCATTCTTGATATGTCTTAAAACTATTTCACGTTATTTCCATTTCACTAAAATACAATAAACAGAACAGAACAGGATCGATGTCCATTTCTGAGGAATTCAACAAGAATCTCCAGTGATACTGATCCAAAACTTCAAATGAATTGGAGGATACTCACCGTAGATGGTGTTGCGAGCCGCCGGAGGGAAGACGATTGAGAGAGATTAGCTGTGGAACTGGGACTCCACTAGAACTTGCACGTGAGGTGAACGTGAATTGGTTTTATATATTATGGGGTAAATTTCAAGTTGGTCCTTAAAGTTTTCATTTTTCCTATTAAGCCATTAAGGTTTCATGAGGATTCAAAATTAGTCACTGTATTATTTTAATTGTAAAAGGGCAATGGTTTTTCCCATTTCCCATTTTTGCTATTATTCTATTTTATTTTTGGGGATTTATGCCCAGGGATGGCAATGAGGAGGGTATAGGACAGATCGACCATTCCCACCTCCGTCCCGCCAAATATTTTTGTCACCTTATCCCGTCCCATACCAGGTTAATACGGGACAAGGGTGAGGCAGCTCGCATGCCCATTTATCGTCCCGTTTATTTTTTCTTTTTATTTATTTTTTGCTTTGATTTTTTTACAACTTTAGTTAGTAAATATTATTACGTTTTTTTTTCCAATTTGTTAAGAACAACTTATATTCTCTTTAAAAATGACGATAAATTTTTTATTTTTGTTTGATAAAAAGTTTAAATTTAAAATTAATTTTAAATGGGTGAGGTAGTGGGATCGAGCTGGGGCTATGTTTTTCATACCCGTGTCGAGACAATGGCCCCCGTCTCATCCCCATCTCATTTACGTGATTATGAGGGTAATCACTGCTCCATTCGGAGTGGAGCCCTTGGGTATCAGGTTGAACGAATTTTTTTGCCATATTTATTTATGTCAAGCCTCAACAGTAAACTAAACCTCTATTGACAGCCTTTATTTTTACAATCACGATATATGTATATCATATTTGACATTATTTATATTGTGCTCCTGTGGCAACACACCATTCATTAATTTTTTTTAAAAAAACTGTTTTTCTACCAACAATTTTTTAAAAATGCAAAGGATGTAAAAAAAGATACAAACCATGAAATGTACACTTAGCATTATTTATATAAATATTATACCAATGTTTGAAAAATTGAAAAAAAAGACACTTTAAAAAACCAAAACAAAGATGAGTTAGGTGCGTTGCCGCATCGACTTTGACCGTGTTCCACTTAGGTTTGACCATTTAAAGCTTAGAGCATTTTCATACGATATTCTATTTTTAAAGGGCATGTTTTGTAATTTAGAGAGCATTTGTAAATTTTGGGCGCGTTTGATTGTAAGGGTGGAAAATGGGTGGAAAGAAAATATTTTACAGGAAAAAAATTTACCTAAAAAATGTTTTGCAGAGAGAATGATTTCAAATGTATTTGATTTGTATAATTTTTCACTCTGAAAATTTTTAAATTTTCTATTCGTTTGACTTTGTTTTACATGGAAAGTGTTTGTTAAAGTGATAACTTTTTCCACATTTGGTTATAAAATTTGTTTTCATTGCCAAAAAGTCAAAAAAAAAAAAAGGAAAAAAAAATCGTTTCCTAAAAAATCATTTTTTTTAATCAAAATTTAGTTTTCGTTTGACTTAGTTTTACATGAAAATTATCCACTAAAGTGAAAATTTTTTTTACCATTGGTTATAACATTTGTTTCTATTGCAGATTTTTTTTTTTTCCAGCTAGATGGGAAAAAATTTTCATCAAAAAACCAAAAAATGCACACGTGTGGAGGAAAGAAGAAAAATATTTTCCGTGGAAAATTTCGTCTATCAAACAGCCAAAAAAGTGGAAAGTGGAACATATTTGCCTAGTTCCCTGGAAATTTTGACGTATCAAACAGGGCCTTAGAGTAAAAATTTTTATGTACTCCAACATGTTATTTATTTTTAACACTTAATTTTACTATTCACAAAAAATATTTCTTATTTCTTCCCATCCGTTATTTGCAATTTGCATTAGCACATTGATTATATTATTTTCCCCCAGATTATTATATTATTTCTTATTTCTTCCCCCCAAATGATTATATTATTTTCCTCCATTAAAAATCAAAACACTTAGAATAGATTTGAATAGTCCAACTCACTCTTTATTTTAAAATATTAATTTAAAAAATCTCTTAAACATAACTTTAAGGATGACTCTCTAAAACAGAGACATCTTATATTTAAGGAGTTTCTTAAAAATACTTATATTATCTATATAATTTGTAGGATCTACAACTTATTAGTGACCTACCTTAAATTTCTAAGCGAGCTTTTTTTTTTTTTTTTTTTTGTGTGAAGTACTTAAAAGGCAACTATTAAGAATTGGGTTGTGCTACCTGTACTACCAGTGGCGCCACCTATAGGTTGGGAATCACTTTTAAGCCCTTGTTTAGGCTTCATTCTCATAAAAATCATGTTTTTGATTAAGATATTATTCAATGACATTTTAGTAATTTATTATTTAGAACAAGCTATGCTCACAATGTTGGTACCAAATAGACCTTTAAAAGTTAAACCACTCTACCCGTAAAACTGAATCAAGTAAGAAAACAAAATCCAAATTCAACATGAGAGTGAATATAACATAACCATCTAGAATGTCGTTTGTTGGAATAAAATTCTGCCGTTAGAGATGATCTTATGCTCCTCTTCTTTATGTTTGAAGTGGTTACCTGGTGAGCCGATTCACGCATTCTTTAGCAAGTATCGACTGATTAGAGCAAATACAAGTCGACGACTTTTTCGTACAATGAACATTCAAATATTAGCTGAAACTACATAGTGAAATCTTTAGTGTCGAAATAGCTTAAATGGAATAAAAGAACTGATATTAGCACACATTAACAGTCATATCTGCTAGTAAACACACGTCCCATTTATTTAACTGACTGTAAGAATCAGTTCAGTACTCAGGTAAAAGAGAAAGGAGGTGCCTACTCGGGCTTCCAAGAGGACAGTGGGGGCGTCTCTGNTGCCTACTCGGGCTTCCAAGAGGATAGTGGGGGCGTCTCTGAGTTTATCCATGTGTTTGCCATGTAAACATGTCTGTCGCCCTTAACCATGTTGGCAGAAGCAAAGGATTCAAGCTCAGCCATCTCTTCGGGTGTCAATTTCACGGATAAAGCTTCAAAATTCTGGTTCAAGTTCTTGATCTTAGTGGTACCGGGTATGGGACAAACATCATCTCCTTGGTGATGAACCCAAGCCAATGCTAGTTGGGACGGTGTGCAACCTTTGATTTTAGCCATTTCACTGACCCTTTCGAATACTAGTTTGTTAGTTTCAAGATTTTCTGCTTGGAACCTCGGAAATTTCTACAAAAGTCGAACAATTTTCATCAGCATGTAAACAATGCAAATATATGTGAACCCTAAACCTTACACATTGCAAATATATGCCAACAATACACATTGACATTGAAAACATATGTGAACCCAAAACCTTTCTTTTCTTTTGTATGTGTGTATGAGAGAGAGGGAGGGAGAGTACATGATATATTGCATTGTACTAGATATTAAGTCTTGCCTTCATATGTTTGGCTAGTATTCTTATACTCAACCATGTGGGATTCTACCAAGTCCTAGGCAAGATGGTGACTCATTTCAGCACACCAATTTTAGAATGCAAATGCCGTTTGAGCTTTAGAAGGACCAAATTGCTTGTTTGAGGTAAATGTGTTTCAATACTATATTGAGTCTTGAGATTCCATCTTAAAATGTCAACCTAATCAAGTGAGGTAGAGCTCAAATTATAATTTCAAACAAACTTTTTATTCACATATTTTGTGTGAACCGTTACGTAAATTTTAATTTATACATTCACAAACAAACACTACGAGGAGTAGTCGTATACATTAGTTAGTATATTTATATGAAACCTATTACACTGGAATACTTGTAAATTTCAAAGTGATCTGCAAAGGCAACGCTCATATGGATACTAATTCATGCAGTATCAAAAACTGGTTGGAAAAAGAAGGTCGAGGTCCAAAACTATATCTAACAGATGCGCTATCTGAATTCATCAATTTATCAGGCTATGCATTTGAATTCGTCAATGTATACCAAGCAATTCCACTTTAATTTATACCGAGAGAACAAATTCAACTTCATTTTTAAGATTTGTTTACAGGTGGACAGTTTTTCATGAGGAAACTTGGTTCGTGACCATAACTAGAGAACGAAAGGTGCCCTTTCAGCGTAGAAGGCTACACTGCCTATCTTAAATGTAATTATTAATAAAGACAGCATTCCTCGGAACTTTGTCTTAACATTAATTTAGCCATGTCTAATTTTCTAAGCTCCATGGTTTTGAAAATTTTAATTTTGGGAGTAATAAGTAGCATGGTTGCCAAAGCTTTTATTAGATTACAAGTTGTGCATCCTACGAAATATGTGGCTAATAAGTAGATAAAAGTAGGTAAAAGTTGTGGGTTCTACGGAATGCATGACGGACCGGCTCAGAAGCAATTATAAGCTTTCCCAAACGTCCAAAAAGAAGCTAGCAGTAGTTAAATGTGAACTCAATGCAAGAACATGAAATTAACTAGTATTCAGCACAAATGAATACCAAGAAGGTTACATATGAATGAATATGGACCAACCTTACGATGGTCACCCTCTGACAAGTTCTCAATCAACTCGGGTCCTGCTGAGAAGAAACCCCGTCCCAGTGGACTGTATGGGACGATTCCAATACCAAGTTCCCTAATAATAAGACAGATGAGAACAACACATAATTATCTTGGAGAAGTTATAAGATTGTTGACAAATGTTAGACTCCATACCTGCAAGTAGGAACTATTTCTTCTTCTAAATCTCTTGACCACAAGGACCACTCCGTCTGAACAGCAGTTAATGGATGAATGGCATGAGCCCTTCGGATTGTTGAAGCAGAGGCCTCTGACAAACCAACATATTTTATTTTCCCCTCTTCAACCAGTTTCTTGAGTTCTCCCATCTTGCAAAAGTATGCCAGAGGACATAAAGAGTAGGTCCATTAGAAGTGAAATTACATAATGAGTTCAATTGTAACAATTAAAAAATGTTAACATCATTAGAAATGGAGTGAAAAACAGCGTTAGTCAACATCCCTGCTGATCACTCTAGCTCATGCTTAGATAAGCCAACAATTGATTAAAGAAGCCAATAAACTCAGCTGATATGGTATTGGTATTGTAATAACGAGAATCCAAGTGTTTATCGGAACCGAGGCTGAAGCTGTGAGGAAATTAGTTCCCAAGTTCAAGTCGCACCAGATGTGGGTTGTTGTCCAACTGAGTGTTGAATTTTTTTGTAATATTACAACAAAAGTTAGCAATTACCGGCGCATACTACTTACTAGTACCGTCTAACAGTCAATTACCCAAAAAGACATATTATAGAACCTCCTCATACTAAAAGTCCCATTTTTAAACGATAAATAGAGAAATAAATGTAAATTAAGAATCAATGCTGATGGTTATCGGAAAACAGCAGTGAACGACAATCTAGGATGACCGCATCAGTATCGGGTGCAGGTTAACAACTTTAATGGAGGATTAATTTTCTTTCTTATCCACTTGCACGTAGAAAAAGGGAAAATAATAACATACACAAAAACCTTGCTGGGAGAGAGAAATCTTAAGTGCTCTGGATGGTTAACAGTTCATCAAATCAGATCGCAAACAGGGGTTGAAATGTTGGACAAATTTTATGATAAAGAAGGGCTGAATTTGGTAATTGAATCGTGGTGGGAGAACTGAATAGGCATACTCCTATTCAACCGTTTACCAAGTAATAATCCTTGGCTATGGGCAAGCTTAAAAAGTTCACTTATAAGTAAATATAGTTGCAAGTAAACAAGTAAGATTCAAAATACTTTTATTAATTGAAACCGAAAGGAGATAAGCTACTTGTGTGACGGTAAGTTAAAAATTATTTTTAGAATAAACTAATTTTCTTACAGTAACAAGAAAGTAAGTTACTTAAGCATAGCCCAAACATGCTGTGATGTACGCATCGTCAAGGATACATGCAATCCACACAATTATAGAAACACTGTTATCATTTTCACATGAAGGGTGATTAGCCTCATTTATACTTTATAATTGCGTGAAACGCTAAACTAAGATTTGGGAAAATGTCAAACCGTGACTTCAATAGGCACGCTGGTGTCAATTCGATGTACGTAATAGAGATCAATGCAGTCGATGTTAAGCCGCTCCAAGCTTGCTTCACAGGCAGCCCTCACATATTTTGGGTCACCACTAATTTTCATCTTGCCATCCTTGAGACTAATCCCAAACTTGGTGGCTATTTGCACTTTCTCTCTCAGTCCTCCTGTCAAAGCCTACACAGATTTCCCTAAATTAGTCCATCGGTTGCCAACGTCATCATACGTCAACAGGCACTAAAGCAACTAAAAATGTCCGATTCAAAATGAGTAGAGAGTTAATGGAAAAATGATTTTTTAAAGAGAATGACTCAAAATGGGTTCAGAATTCACTGAATTATTTGAAAAATACAGCAAAAACTTTGAAAAATTTAGGGTTCATTTCAAATTATTCATCTACATTAGCAATCATCTCTCTTCAAACCCCATAATATGACAAAAATTATGAACAGTGAAAAGTGAAGTACCTTGCCGATGAGAAGCTCGTTGGTGTAGGGTCCATATACGTCAGAGGTGTCGAGGAAGGTGACTCCGGAGGCAATGGCATGGTGAATGAGTGCTATCATGTCGGGCTCGGGCTTCGGCTGCCCGTAACTAAAGGACATTCCCATGCAGCCCAGCCCTTGTTTAGATACCTCCAGGCCCTGTGAGCCCAGCTTGATTCTTGGCGCCTTTATCGCTACTGTGGATGCCATTTTTGTGTGGTTCTGTGGAGTGAAGTGTCAAAGACTCAAATGGAAGGCGAAGGATTGGTAGAAAACCGGGAGAGAGAAAAACGTGCTAAATGTCCTTCTTTTTCTTTTATAGTTGCCTAGATTTTTAATATATTTTGATAAAAGTTGATAAAATATGTGTTTAAAAAATTGTGATCCCACAAAATACGTGGTTAAAATTAATTATTAAGCCCCCGTTTGGGAGCCATTTCACTTTTCATTCCTGGCCCACAGTTTCATGACTTTTGTATTTGCTGCAGGTTTTGTTTTTGTTTTCCAATTATGCCCCTTTGATGGCAATGAAATCACGGTGCATTTTTTGAAAACTGGGTAGTTGGAGTGATGGCTAAAATTGGTAAAGCATAAAAGAGTGTAATAGCTTTGACAGACTCTTGTCAAGTCAATGTCAAGAAATTTTGAATAAAACAAGAATTGTTCACTGTGCAACGGTCAAAAAATTTCTACAAATGAGATGAAAATGAGCACCAAACGAAGCCTAAATTTGACTTGAAATTTTAACTCAATTTTAATCTAAACCAATCTAATAAATTGGTTAGAACATGTCCAAGTGGCTCTTTTTTAAGGGCTTGTTTGGTAGGGATTCTCATTTTCTACAGTAAATCAATTCTTATTTTCAACTACACATTCTTTAATAAAATAATATTTTTCATCACATCAATAATTTTTTCTTCTTTTTCAACCACACATTTGTCATCATATCACTATTCAAAATCAATTCTTCCCCTAAAAAATCCCTACCAAATAAGCTCTAATTCTTGAAGCCTTAGTTGAGTTACTTTTCAAAATTAACTTTTAATTTTAATCATATTTTGATAAAATTCATTTGCAGATATTATCTCACTTATCAACCAATCATTTCTTAGAAAGTGGATTTTAGCATAAAAAATGAAACCCATACAAGATCTATTCGGTTAAAAGTGGTAACCAATTGATTGTGTAAGTCAGCGTAGCATTGTCGAGCTCTCCCTAAGGTTCATATATTCCTTCGAAGATTGTTCTGTGATGCTCTATCCACCCCCAATTAATTTATCTAGGCGTGGAATGACTAAACAAATGTTGTTGCCATTGTGTTATATACCGGAAAACTCAGGACACTCGTTGTCTTGGTGTTGTGGGATGAACACTTTTTGAGAAGAATTGGGATCAAACCTTTGAAAGAGTGCACTGATGTCAAGGAGATTGTCATGTTGGTTGAGGTCAGATGCAACGGTGATGAGTTGGGTGTGTTCAGTTGTGATCTTTGGACCCTGTGGGGAGAGCGGAACAACATTTCTCATGGCAGCCTCCCGCCCACCTGCCATTATCATGGCATCATAGGAGGCGGTCGACGGTACAAAGTGGCAGCGCAAAAATTGGAAGTGGGCGGATGATCTGGAAGCCAACCTAAGATGGATGTTTCAAATTAAATACAGATGTTGCAATTTGATTAGTTGAAGGTTTTATCAATACTGTGGCTGTGGTGCAAGACGAAGAAGGTTTGGTTTTAACGTCCCATTCGAAAGATATGATGTGTAGCTATCTGGTAGACTACGCTGAGGCTGTGGCTCTCTAGGACTTTACGCAAAATCAAGTAAGAAAACAGAATACAAATTCAACTTAAAAGAATGAACAAAACATAAACAATCTAGCATGTAAGAATGTTGTAATAAAGTGCTGTTAGTGATGATCTTATGCTCCTCTTCTTATATCTTTGCCATGGTGGCCGGGTGCAGCAGATTCACAAGTTATTTAGCAAATATCAACTGATTAGAGCAAGCAAATAACAACTTGACAGCCTTTTACGAACAATGAACATGGAGATGGTGGCTGCAAATACATAGCGGAATCTTTAGTGCCAAAATAGCAGAAACAGAATAGCTGAACTCATATCGGCATATATTAATATCTGAACTGAATACTCTCACTCATATCTGCTAGTAAACACACAGGTCTCATTTATTTAACTGACTCTAAGAATCAGTTCAGTACTCAGATGAAAGAGTAAAGGAGATGCCTACTCGGGCTTCCAAGAGGATAGCGGGGGTGTCTCCGAGTTTATCCATGTGCTTTCCATGAAAACATGTCTGTCGCCCTTGACCACGTTGGCTGAAGCAAATGATTCAAGTTCAGCCATCTCTTCGGGTGTCAATTTCACAGATAAAGCTTGAATATTCTGGTTCAAGTTCTCAATCTTAGTGGTACCGGGTATTGGACAAACATCATCTCCTTGGTGATGAACCCAAGCCAATGCTAGTTGGGACGGGGTGCAACCTTTCTTTGTAGCCATTTCACTAACCCTTTCGAATACTAGTTTGTTACTTTCAAGATTTTCTGGGTGGAACCTCGGAAATGTCTACAAAAGTTGAACAATTTTCATCAGCACATAAACATTGCTAATATATGTGAACCCAAAACCTTGCACATTGCAAATATACGTCTACAAAAGTTGACCCAAAGCCTTATTTTTCTTTTGAGATAGAGAGAGAGAGAGAGAATATGCTGCCTTCTAATTTTTCTAGTGCACTACGGGTGATTAACTTCAATTAGATCAATTAATTAAATCAAAATAACTTTTCAGTTAGACGTTTATGAAAATTGAAAATAGACGTCCTTCATATAGAAGCCTTTATTAGATTATAAGTTGTATGTCCTACGAAATGTGTAGATACAGGGGCAGATGGATCCATAGCAGAATTTTTTTTTTTTAAGCCGAGCTAATATGTAAAAAAGGCAAAAAAAAAAAAAAAAAATTACATTGGAAAAAACTTTTTTTTGTAAAAAATTGAAATGAAGCCCAATCCCCAATAAATTTGCCACCACGGGTAAAAGTAAGTAAAAGTCAGGGGTCTACAGAATGTGAATGATAATATAGTTTGACAAGCTTATAAGCAATTATAAGCTTTGCCAAATATGCAAAAAAGTAGCTAGCAGTAGTTAAATGTAAACTCAATGCAAGAACATGAAATTAACAAGTATTCAACACAAATGAATACCAAGAAGGTTACACAGGAATGAATTTGGACCAACCTTTCGATAGTCACCCTCTGACAAGTTCTCAATCAACTTGGGACCTGCTGAAAAGAAACCCCGTCCAAGTGGACTGTATGTGACGATTCCAATACCAAGTTCCCTAATAATAAGACACATGAGAATAACGCATAATAATCTTGTAGAAGTTATAAGATTGTTGACAAATGTTAAAAGACTCCTTACCTGCAAGTAGGAATTATTTCTTCTTCTAAATCTCTTGACCACAAGGACCACTCAATCTGAACAGCAGTTAATGGATGAATGGCATGAGCCCTTCGGATTGTTGAAGCAGATGCCTCTGACAAACCGACATATTTTATTTTCCCCTCTTCAACCAGTTTCTTGAGTTCTCCAATCTTGCAAAAGTATGCCAGAGGACAATTAAGAGGAGATCCATTAGAAGTGAAATTACAAAATGAGTTCAATTGTAACAATTAAAAAAATGCTAACATCATTAGAAATGGAGTGAAAAACAGAGTTAGTCAACATCCCTTCGCTCATGCTCAGATAAGCCAATAAACTGAGCTGATAAGGTTTTGGTATTGTAATAACGAGAATCCAAGTTTCTATTGGAACCGATGCTGAAGCTGTAAGGAAATTAGTTTCCAAGTTCAAGTCACACCATATGTGGTTTTTGTCCAACTAAATGGATCTTCTACTTATTATTTAATTGATATGGGACTCTTCTACTCCAATCAGTACAACAAGAGACCAGATTCCTCCGGTCAAGCAAAAATTCAGTCAAAGCTGTTCGGTGATAGGACAACAAAAACTGAATACGATTTTCAAGAAGGATAGATGTGCAATCCATGGAATTAGAGAAACATTATTACCATTTTTCCATATTAAAGATGACGGGCCTCATTTATATTTCACCATTGTATAAAATACTAAATTAAATACAGCACCAAATGAATAATATTTGGGAAAATGGCAAACCGTGATTTCAATAGGCACACCGGTGTCAATTCGATGAGCGTAATAGAGATCAATGCAGTCGATGTTAAGCCGCTTCAAGCTTGCTTCACAGGCAGCCCTCACATATTTTGGATCACCACTGATTTTCATTTTCTCACCCAACCTGCCGCTTATCCCAAACTTGGTAGCTATTTGCACTTTCTCTCTCAGTCCTCCTGTCAAAGCCTACACGGATTTGCCCAAATTTGTCACTTGGTTGCCAAATTCACCGACCCATCGTCCATGCACAGGCACAAAAGCAATTAAAAATCATAAAATTTTAACAGATAGTTGTCGACAGTGTATATCGAATTAATTGTCATTGCATTTCTTGGTGCAGATTTTACTTTTTATTTTTACTTTAAGAGGAAAAATAAATAGAAATACAGTGACACATCCATCATTTAGATTCAATTAAAAATTTAGTGAACCATAAAAAAGAAAAAATGAAAACTTGCTAAATTCAGGAATATCATACTACAGCCAAAGGAAGAAAATATGATTTCCAGCTCAATTTTCTTGTTTTGTCTAAGAAAACAGTCCTAAATTCTGAAATAAATTCTCAATTCACTGAATTACTTGAACAAGTAAAAAATTCACAATAAAAACTTGAAAAAAATTAATGGGTTCAGTTCATATAAATCATCCACATTAGTCGTTACTAATCATCTCTCTTCAAATTCGATGAATATGATAAGAAATATGAACAGACCTTGCCGATGAGAAGCTCATTGGTGTGGGGTCCGTAAACGTCGGAAGTGTCAAGGAAGGTTATCCCGGAGGCGATGGCATGGTGAATGAGGGCGATCATGTCAGGTTCGGGCTTGGGCGGCCCGTAATCAGATGACATACCCATACAGCCCAGTCCTTGTTTCGATACCTCAAGGCCCTGTGAACCCAGCTTGATTCTTTGCACCTTTACCATTACTGTTGACGCCATCTTTGAGTAGTTCTATAGGCTGAAGAGTCGGTCGGAGGAGAAGGGTTTGTAGAAAACCTGGGAGAAAGACCTGCACGTATGTACTTGTTAAACGTGGCCATGTGTCCACAATCTTTATGTTTTTCCCTTCTGTCTTTAATCATTTACAATCCTGCGACATGGACGGGTTAGTGACAAGTGAATTAAACAATGAGAAAAAAGCATATGAATATCGTCAAGGTAGCACCTGTCAAAGCCCCTACCAACTTCCGATAAGGAGTATTATTGAATCTTTAATATTAATAAAGCTGCTTGTGCAAGCCAGGGGACCGGCTTTAGCACAACCGTGGTCCATTAATTTTTATTTTATTTTTTTGATTCTGTAAATGAACGAAGTGAGAAAACTGAAAATATTGTGTATTTCTTTATTGAACTGTTTATCTATTCTACCGATAGTTTACACTATTTATATCCAAGATTATGATATGAAACTTTGTTAATTAGATGTTCATATTCAACAGTCAATTTGTCCCTTAGAAGCTGAAATCGAGTGCTCGATAAAAGCTTGGTAAGAATGTCGATATTGATCAACAGAAGGCATATATGACAAAGACGACTTTCTGCATAACTTTTTCACCAATGAAGTGAACATGTTTTGTGCGAGCATGAAACACTGGATCGCTTGCTAAAACAATGAAACTCTAGGCATCACACTTTAAAGTTGGAGAATTGATTAGAAGTAAATGAAATTCGCCAAGTAGAGATTGAATCCATAAGATTTTTGCAATAGCAAATGAGCGAGAACTAGTGATCTTCATAGCACTCCACGTAAATATGTTAGGACCAAGAAAAATGCAATAACCAGAGGTAGACCATTGATTGTCAGATTAGAAGCCAAATCGGCATCAGAAAATGCAACGAAAGCAAGCTTATGGGCACTTTCCAGATGTAAGTAGTGTGCATTTGACAGACTTCCAATGAGTATCTAAAGACTGTCGCATAAATTGGCAAATACGGTTGATAAAGAAAGCAAGCTCTGGTCTAGTGATTATTTGCATATTGAAGAGCCCCAATTACGCTTCTATATAACTAGGGATTGCCAAATAGTTCACCAACATTAGGTTCTCTCTGCACACTAATACAAAAAAGAGACTTGCTAAAATATCCTCTATATAGTGAAGAAATGTTATGGCAACTTAGCGCCTATCTAGGTGGAATTGTCAACACATTTTATGCAAAATTCCAACTGTTGTCTATGTCATTATTGATTTATAATAGCGATCATTTGAATTGTCAAATAATGTGGGCGTGTAAGATGATAGAATTGTCCCTCCATGATTTTATGTACTTATACAGAAATGAAGAATAATAATGGCAATTGACAAAATTAAATCACATTAGAATGGTCGAACATACTGGCAGATGTGGGCCCCATTTCAATGGTATCAAAATCAATTCTTTGAAAAATAGTAGCGCTCCCAGACAAATGCTTAATACATGTGAAAAGTACATAGTATACTCATATAATATTAATTTTATCAGCATAGTTAGGTTCCACACATATATCCAACAACTTAAGCGGGCTCAAGACATTAGATACAAGTTTGTTTGATAAAACTTTTTGTAGGTTATAAATTATAGGTCTTACGTAATGCGAATAATTAATAGATAACAGTTGTAGGTCCTAGAAATATATGAATAAGAAGTACGTTTGACCCACTTAATTAATAATTTAAGCTTTGCCAAACTTGCACTAGTAAGCAATGAGCACGGAGTTCAAAATTAGGAAGACAAGCTACACAATCTATCAAATTTCTGTCACTGAGCTAGTGAAACATAAAAGTCATATTTGGTAGTGAACACAAAATAAGTATTGCCCAAACCTCTCAATCATCAAAGGAGGTGTCTGCCAAGGTTTCCAAGAGAATTGTGGGGGCGTATCCAAATTTATCCATGTATATGCTGTGTTATCGTGTCTGTCGCCCTCAACCACATCGGCTGAAGAGAAGGATTGAAACTCATCCATCTCTTTTGGTGTCAATTTCTCAATGGAGCTCGAATATTATGGTTCAGGTTGTTGAAATTTGATTTAGAGAATGAAATTAAAATTTAGTCAAGTATGGAAAAGTGATTTTTGTGTCAATTTTAACTAAATATTTGGACTTGATCCAATAGTAAAATTATGAATATAAGTAGACTAACTTGTTCGAGTAGATTGTCATAGTATATTTGGAATCCAAACCAATTCCGGATGAATGAGATATTACAGTCTAAAGTTGGATAGAAAAGAGGAAATACGAGCTAGAAAAATGGCTAACTATGGCCCTGTTTGAGCCACATTATTTTTTTCATTTTCATTCTTCTACATTCATCAATAAAATAATGTTTTTCATCACATCAATAACTTTTCCTTCTTTTTCAACCACATATTCTTCATCACATCAACAATAAAAATGTATTCTTTTTCCAAATATGTGCACCAAACGGGAGCTATATCGCTCGCCTATCGCTCGAGCGACAGGTAAGTGAGAGAAGTTCCCATGAAAATGTGTCACTGTCGCTCAAATGAAAAGCTAGTGATAGCAAATACTGCGACTTTTAGCAAAGATTGCTGGGTTTGGGGCGCGGCACTTCATTCACAACATTTCCTCCTCTATATATAGGACCCTTTGAACGTACATTTAGCATCTAATATCATTTTGCATTGATCATTACATCAAAATTCTTGCAAAATACTCTCCAAAGTCATTCCAAAAACCTTTTTCTTGTAGAGAGAAAATTATCATTCCAAATTCGTTGTTATTTGTGGTTTGAAGTGGTTATACCACAAGTCGTATCCATTGTATCTTGGGAGACAAGTGCCGTAGTCCGTTAACACCGTTACAAGACAATATTGTCTTAAGGAGAAAGTGTTTTTACTTGTCCCAAATTTCATTCTTCACTTTGTTTTCTTCTTCTCATCTTCCTTCTTTCCATTTTTTAGTGTTTAATTATGCTCCTGCGAATTAAATTTGAATATTTTCTCTGCCTAAACAAACATTTACACATACTAACGCACCAACACATGTTCTCAAGCTTAGGGGTACCACGTGTCAGACAAACATCGGCTCCTCGGTGATGAACCCAAGCCAATGCTAGTTGGGATGGAGTGCAACATTTTCTTGCAGCCATTTCAATGATTCTTTCGAATATTAGTAATTCTTTTCTAGTTTTTCAGGCTGGAACCTCAGAAATGTCTACTAATGTTGAAATATGTGAATCAGCATCCAAACGATAAGAGTCTTCATATAGTCACAATTTAAAATGCCTTGTTATCAGCAGGAATACGTAAAACTCAAATACCAGTATTTAAGGACATCTTAGTTGACCACTTGACCTTATTATTACTACCAAATAAATGAACAACCTTATCTCCTCGAAAAAGAAATATGGATCCTTTGTTTTATTCATCACTGATACACGCTAGTGATAAATTGCGGACATGTACTAAAAGATAAATTGGATGAATTTACACGAAGTCGTTGGTTTAACGGTGAACCAGGACAGAGCAGTGGATTCATGTAATGTGATGAAATGAGATCAGATTTAATGCATTTCAAGTGCTGTTTGTAGGCAGAAATATGGCCGTTTGCATGTAATTGAAGGACGTGTAAGATGCACCTCTCATCAAAGAAGAGAGCTATATTTTTTATAGCATAGAGATGACAAAAAGGCCCTCTATTTTATGAAGTGAATATTGAGAAATCTGTAAAAGTTTTACGGCGGTTTGCAACGGTGGTGGTGGGGCATTTGGAGAAGAAGAAAATGATAAAAAGTTTGAAACTTTGATTAGCACAAATGAAATATTTAAGTATAATATGTAAAAAAAATAAATGATTTGGGAACCCCATCTACAATATTTATTAAATGTGTAGTTAAAAATGAACGTGAATAAATGTGATTTTCAAACTATCACTTCTACAGAGGCATTTGTCATTATTTTGGTTAGCATACATCCAAATGCACATGTGAGTCGAGGATCAAATTGAGTTGACTTGATTGGGGCACCATCTGTCCCCATTGAGGAGCCAGCCGAGTACTATCAATTATAGGAGTAAGTGGTAGGATCGACATGCCTACACCTACGGGCCATTTCGGCCAATGGATGTAGTAAGATCGCTCTAACTGGCTATAGGCATGTAATTAAATTTAAAGCTATGGCTGATTTCAAATCGGGTCAACTGCTAGTTCGAACTTTTGACACAATACACAAGTACGTGACTCCTTTTCTAAACTAACAACAATATAAGAATGAATTTCATTTTTTTTTTTTTTTGTGTAGGATAGTAGAATATAAGGAAACTATTCATTTGGTCAAGCTTAAAATTGAGGTATTGTCACTCAGAGTTTGGATCCCAACAACACTGTTGTATCCTTTCCTATGTTGTTGATAAAGCAAGACATGAACTCCATCTCTCCAATCAATGCTTCACTCTGTTATCGAGAGATAGTCTCTATGAGTCGAGTAGGGGGCTCCCGTATGATCACAAACTTTTTCTCAAAAGCCATTTTGCTCAGGGACTATTCCCTACATAATTAGCATACGTACTCTCCATTGGGGGGTCGTACTCCAGTGTATAATTTATGCCTTCAACAATTTAAGATAGTGCTAGGAATGAATTTCATCCTCGTATCTTGCATTGTCATGGCTCATTAGTTATTGGCCCCGTAAAAGGGGTTTTGAAATCAAGATTCTCAAAATTTATGCCACAACGACTTTTATTAAAGTCTTTCATTTGTTTCTATGTTATGAAATAAGTTCGTATTTTTTTGGTTTAATGTATCATAATCTTTTTGTTTAATTTATTTAGGTTCGAAATTTGGCCATGCTAGAGTCTTAGATTTTGTTTTTTCTTCTAATCAAGATTAAGAATTTTCCTTCTTGATTTACCTCATGGTCCCTGGCGAATTGATATCTAATGGTGTGTTTGAATCACATTATTTTGGAAGAATGTATTCTGGAATAGCAGATTGATGGAGAA